TCTTTTAGATAATTTATTTTGAGAATTTTTGGATATTATTAGAGAAATGAATCTCTAATTTTTTTTTAATATTTGATAAATAATATATTTTGAGAATTTTTGGATATTTTTGTCATGTATTATTTGTATTAAAAAAATATTATAAAAATATAAATAAAATAAATATCTTATGGTTCAAAAATTTTAAGATGTAAGCTCATATATTAAGAGAGAAAAAAAAATATTTTACATAATTAAAATAAACATTTTTGAATATTTTATTTTAAATTTTTTCACTCAATAGGTTTTAAAAAAAAATCATTATAAATTAAACAGTTCTATGAACTATATGAAATATCTAATTTTTTTGGAATTTATAATATATTATTAAATATTTATTAAAATTAATTATTAAATTTATATTTTTCTAATATATATTAAATTCAAAGAGAAATTAGAATGGAATAAATATACAAAAATAAGATTAAAAAGCCTTCATTTTAGCTCTTATTTTATGCCATCAATATTTTTGAAGTAATTCTTTATAAAATCTAATATATTAGACTTAGCATTAGGTGTGGTTCTATTATAAATATATTCAAATAAAATATTTAATCTTGTTTCCTTTAATTCGAGAGAATTTTCATTAACACTAATTAATTATGAGAGTGAAAAAATAAAAATTCTTGCTCTTGTAGATTTATTCTAAGAAAGAGGTAATTATCCAAAAGATACTTTTATTCAATCATATTTTATGACCATCACATAAGTCTTAAATATTTTATGGTGTTATGCATTTTAAATTGTTGCTAAGTTTATTAGAATATATCTTTTTATGATTTGTATTTAATATTAAATATTATTTTTTAAAACTAAATATGCTTGTTAAATTCATTTTGTAGACATTTTTATCTTGTACTAAAGGACCAAAAATGTAATATTTGATCAACAATAAACCATATATTTTAAATTATAGCAACTATATTATTGACCCATTAAATTGAAATTTCTAATTGACATTACTTTTTTTCATGAAGTTTGTTTAATTACATTAATAAATATGCTTATTTTTAATAATAATAATAATTTTTATGATAAATTTAATAAAATTGTTTTCAAAGAAAAATTTCTTTATTATGAAAAATATTTATATATCCTAAAAGATTGAGCTTGATTGCATGAATTTCAAGTACAACATAACTTCCCAAAAATATGAAGCTTTGAATATAACAAAAATTTAGAGCTTATTTCAAGAAATTATAAATAGCTTTAAATTTAAAAATAAATAATTTTTTTTAATCTTATATTTTTTGCACTTAAATAAAGATTCTATATCATTGATTTTGTAAACTTTATCCACCTCTATCCATTTTAAAGCAACTTTGGTAATTTTTAAATAAAATTTATCACAAATCTTGTAATCTTAAATTTTTACAAGTTTATTTAAGTAAATATAGATATTTTAAATAAAAAAGAAAAATGGATAAAAATTATTATTATTAAATATTATTTTTGATAATTCTTATTAATATCATAGTATTCTAAATGATACAATATTTAATTCGAAATTCTGGTTTGTATCAAATTTTTGGAAGATATTCTTCATCAAAATAAAAATAAAAAATTTAAGTATATTTAGCTTTTTATTTTTAAAACAATAAACAAGAAAAATACTTGAATCAGGTATTGAAACAATATTTGTAATGTACTATCAACTATCATCAACATAATTGGATAACTTTCTTATTATGAAAAAAAATTATACAACTATAAAATATATTTTTCTACTAAATTTTTATTTCCATACTTTAATTTTCTTTTCTCTTTAAAAATTAAAATTTTAGCAATAGAATATTTAACAATAAAGAATAGAACTTTATAGAATATTAAAATTACTACATAAAAAAGTTTTAAAATAATAAAAACTAATATGGATATTCATAGAAATAAAAAAAAATCATCAAGCAAAGTAAATGATAAAGCTTGGTTACTTTTTCATAATCGTAAAACCAATTGAACTTATAATAAGTTGGATTATTAAAGACTTAATTCATTTATCATCAAAAAAAATAATTAATCTAGCTACATAATGATTATAAATACTTTATTTAATGATGATATATCTTATATTTATGTATTTCTTATTAATCTTTATACTTCAATCAATATATTAAATATAAAGTAATTACTACCTTTATTTATTGAAATAAATAATTACTAAGATTTAATATAAAATAAATCTTGGATTTAAGGCAATCCCAAAAAAAATAGAATATCTTGTATGTTGGCACAAACACAATATTATTGAATACACATGAAAGCCATGTGAGAATCTTGAAAATACATTTTGATTTTTTTTTTAGTTTTTTATCAATAAAATCCATCAAAACCAATGATCTATTATTGACAAAGAATTAGTATAAATTAAAGATAATAAGCTCAATGATTAACTTATAGACATTCTTTGTAATATGAAGAATTAACAACTTGTACATTTATTTCAATTTTTATTATTTATAAAAAATATATATATATATATCCATTTAAGTTGTTTCAACTTGGATAAATTGCAATTGTATTAAAGGTCTTTAAGACATATATGTTCTTCCTTAGATAGATAGTAAGATAAAATGTATTTGATACTACAATCTTAGAAGAGACCCTTGATGCTTAATAATACTATTATAGATGGATACTAGATTTAAAAGCAAGAAACATATATTATTTAAATATAATAATAAAGTCCTAAAAGAACACAAAATAATATATATATATATATATATATATATATATATATATATTTGTATAAGACATCATCAATGGTTGAAAGGACCTATCAACAACCATTGTATGGAATTTAGTTCAAAATTTGTTACTAATACTATTCAACAAATTATAGATTCTATTAATTTATTAAACTATCTAATTATTTCTAATAGTATTTATTGCCAAATAATAATAATAATTTATTATATATATATATATATATATATATATATATATAGATAGATAAAAATAAATAAAAGTGAGTAGAAATAAAATATACTATCCTCTTTAGGAATCTTCAAGAACTTTTTTTAGACATTGATTAGATATTTGAATTTTTATGGAGATGCCATGTAGCTATTAAAAATTATTTAATAATTTTTTTAATTTTAGAGAGTTATATTAGAAGCAAGCTATAACTTAACATTTGGACAACAAGCCTTATAATCTCTAAGAAGCTTCTATAAAATCTTTTGGATGGCTTATATATGTTCAGCAAAGACTTTAGACCATCCTCACACTTGTCAATACCTTGTATTTTGGTCTTGATTCAAGATTGTCTAGGCTCTTTGTAATTCATAATAACTAATCTAGTTTCTTTTTGTCTTATATGTATCTCTTATTTGTCTACTTTCTTTCTTCTAATGGCACATGAACATATTATTTTTGATAAGATTTTGTTATGTTTTATGTCCTTTATACTAAGACTTTGTATTATTATTTCTAAAGGCTTCTTTTACCTTTATATATTCTAAAAAAATTGTAATCATTAGTTTTAATAGATTTTATTTGTAGATATTTTTATAAGATAAAAAAGTAAAATATAAAATCTAACAATTTTATCTTGTAGATCTATAAATAAAAATAATCTTGTTATTATTTTTTTATCTTATAAAAATATTTCTTTTTTAGAAAATCAATAAATCTCTAGATTTTTATTTTAAAATCAGATCTATTTATGAATTTTTATTTTAAATATATCTTCTACTTATTTTTTTATTATTTTGAAAATACATAAAGGTGTTGCTAATGCCATTATAATTATGAATATTGCCATGACAAAGTGCTATCTCACTTGACATGTTTTTTTGATTTTTGATTTTTGTAAATTTTTCCATCAAAATTATGTTCAATTAAATTTTTAGAAAGATATTGAATAAAGAAAATTTTGAATAGTTTGAAAGGTAATGAACAAAGATAGCATGTGATGGATAGGAGGTTGTAGTTGTAATACTAAAAATTGTGGTGGCATTAATCATTTATATATATTTTTGTAGTTATATTTAAATATATATATATATATATATATATATATATATATATATATATATATATATATATATATATTTTGATAATATGTGATACCATAAATAAATTTACTCTATTTATTATTTATGGAATTTTATAAATTTTATTAAATTATTATACTTATCTTTATTTTAGTTGAAACCTATAAATTTTAGATTTTTTTACTAACAAAGAAGTTAGATTTTATAAAATCTTATTAAAATATCTTTTCTTGGTATATAATCTAATTTTTATATTAATATATCAAAATAACATATTTATATAATTTTATAATCAGAAAATACCAAGAACTATTTTTCTAAAAAGTATTTTTTAAATTAAATTATTTAAAAATTATATAATACTTTTTATATACTTATATTTTTAAACATAACTTTAAACATAAACCTAGAATTTTAATTTTTAAAAAATAGGAATTTATTTATTTATTTATAGTATTATTTTGAAAAATATTCATAATTAACTCATAGTTTATAAAATCAAAAAATCATTAGTATATTCTTTTAAAGCAAAAAAATTTCATTCTAAATTAGAAAGTAATTTTATCATGAAAACCATAAAAATCATTGTAATACTTTTATTTTTTATTTTATTGTATCTAATTAATAATATAAATAAATCAACTTCTTTTTTCTCTTTCTTGTTTCATGTTCATTTTTTAATATATATATATATATATATATATGAATCTTGTAAAATTCTGATCTCAATGTATGAATAGGAAGATTATGAACTGGATGAAAGAATCCGATTATACATTCATAATTTCACAATCACAACCAGTACATGCATCGACATGAAACAATTACAAATTATAAAGACAAAAACAGACAAAACACATTGTGCATTCATATGAAATGATTACAGCTATGTATTGGAATTCTGACTTTTCTTCATTAATCTATGACTTCAATAATTCTTTAAGACCCAGTATACAAAAATAAAAATAAAAATAATCACACAAGCTTTAGTTAAAATAATAAAGATATTGGCCAGGTATAGATATTATATAGTGCCTTTGAATCTCATTCAAATAGAAATTGCAAATAAATTGAATATCTTAATAGTTTTTAAGAAAACTGTCTCATTTTTCCAGGCTATTAATATACTATAAAAAGATTCGTTCATGAAATAGTACCTTTTCAAGTATATCAACAGCCATGATCTTGAGAAATTTGTAGTATAACTATTGAAAACGTGGGTGAAGTCTATCAGGTCGTTCAAACAGGCAGGCCATGGCTTTGTTTGCAGGGAGCTACATTGCACGACAAATAAACAATGCAGCTTAGTTTTTGTTTCAGTTACAAGTTTATGTTCATCAGTATTATCTTCAATAGTCAGCGTTGATACAACCCTTAGAAGGAAAATAAGACTGACAACAAAAAGATCGATTAATGAGTCACTGTGATCGAGAGTTCACCTGAAGAGTCTTGTGCACATAAATGTGCTTCACAACGTCGTTGCTATTTCTCCTGTCTTTGTCATTTAGCTAAAAACGTGGTTTAGATGTGCTCTCCAGAGACCAATCGATCGATGCAGCTGGGACGACTCAAGTTGATAGAGACGTCCACCAGGTAACTTGCTCGTCACTCGGTCGATGACATTCGTGCTGCGAAATGTTTAGAAATTCCTAGAGATCTGAGTTCGCTGCATCGTCCTGAAACTCCTTGATGTCGAAATCCAAGCAGTCGAAGTCACTGATAGAGAGGGTAGACATGTCGGCGTTAAAAACGGGATTCTGCTGCTCCACTGAGTAATGATGACTACGATCCGGTGGACATTCGAGGACGTGGTTGTCGGAGGCGCTTATCCAATCCATGCAACAGAGTTGACCATATGGGCAGAGATATTCATCTTCGCCACTAGAGTTCGAGCCGTCTGAAATGCTGTACGTCGGGTATGATAAGTTGGGACTTGATATAGTTTTCCCTTGAACTGGTGGAATTCTTTTGACCGGAGGAAGCGCCAAGTGCTCATAGTCATCTGCAGGGGAGTGGTGTTTGGAATAGGCGGGTGACGAAGTCGTGGTGCATTTTTCTGCTGATGTAGTCGGCTGTTGGTGAATGAACTCGCCAGCGTAGAGCTCTGAGTTCGATCTGTCTACGGTATACTTGGAGTTGAGCGTGAGCTGACCAACTTTGTGGTCACATGGGTCAATGCCCTTGTTTCGAAGTTTGCGACTCAAGTGCGTGTTCCAGTAATTTTTTATCTCGTTGTCTGTTCGGCCTGGGATGCGCCCGGCAATCAATGACCACCTGCAAATCGGCGTTTAGAAAAAGCTGGCAACTCATATCAGGACACCGAGATATACGGAATGTTCTTGTTGGTGCCGTGGACTTTGCGCACTTGATCATCGAATCTACCTTGATTCAGAAGACTGTTGATAGCACTAGGATCTCTGGATTTGTATGTGGGTAAGTGGGTGTGGAAGCTTTGAGACCAGCGCATACCTGTTGCCGAGAAGAGCATGCAACGTAACGATGAGATCCTCCTCGTCCCAGGAGAATTTTCCTTTCTTCAGGCCAGGACGCAGGTAGTTCAACCACCGCAACCTACAGCTCTTCCCGCATCTCGACAGTCCTGATTGTTCAACAAAATGTGATTAACCAGTGACTCTACCTCAATGACAGATAAATTCTGTCAATTGTATCAATTAGTCCAAGGCCTTTAGTGCACAATGCCGAGTCCATTGCATGCGAATATTTCTTGTACTCTAGAGTGGCTATGGATGCGAAGAATTGACTGACTCTGCATTTCTTTGTGATGAGATCTATCAAGCACAGTCGGAATTATGGTTGGTGTGGCAGTACCTGCGCATTTAGGCAACAAGCGCCAGTTTCCTTCCCCGTGAGCCTTGATGTAGGCAGACAGAGTAGTGTCTTCAGCCTCAGTCCACGGCCCCTTGTAAATGCCTCCCTCTCCTTTGCTGCACTGTGATCGCCCCATATTCGAGCTACCTGCTGCTGCCGCTCCTCCAACGACTGTCGGTAATGCCGCGCAACTCCTATTGTGCCGGTTAAATTCCTGCGGGGAGCCTTTCGCAACGACGCTCTCAGCTGCTAGTCTAACAAAAAAAAAAACTCCTCTTTCGACATACCCGATTCTGGCTTACAGCAGCAAAACACTATGATCGACATGAAAAATGTTTCCAGCCTAATGAGAAAAAACCCAGCAGTGAGAAACTACCATCCACAGCTCGACTCGCACAACCTCGTTCTACTCTATCTAACTGACTCGGATCACACTCTCTCTCTCGCTCTGGACGCATACCTGGTTTCCCAATCTCTGCACCCTTCGTCGCAGGCGGCATGTATGTATAGAAAGCAATATACCTCCAAGCCACTTCCGTGTGGAAACACTCCGTGATGGTGCTAACTGTACAAGAAATCAGCAATTTCTCTACCGCTACTTTGTGAACGGTAATGTCTCGTCGTTGCCCGCAAACGATAATATTAGTTTCAAGTACCACATACAGGATCTTTTACGCAGGGTATTAAAATTTCCAGCCCGGGACTCGTCCCCTTCAGACAACGAGTAGGCCGCCGGATTGGCCATCCTGATTACCATTGGGATCGATGCATCCCCGGGGTAGCGAAGACGTCGTACGATCTTACTCGGAGGGCGAGCACCCCAACTCCCTCCGACTGCGCCCCTTCGACAGAATTCGGAATCGACGATCGTCACTACGGCGTCACCGTGGCATCGGTAGGGGGGGGGGGGGGGGGGGACCCCGGGCATGGGATCCGCCTTTCCCGACGACCCACCCTCCTAGGGCTTCGCTGGATAGATACTGGCTCCCTGGAGTGACCAGATCGCTTCTGGCCTACCGACGATAAGGGAATCGTCGCGGATTTCCTGGCCATGCACATGTAACAAAGTTCTCACAACCATACATGAATCACTGTGGTCGATAGAACTGGACCATGGCACGTCTGTACAAGTCCCTTCGCTCCGCCTAGACGGGGGATTGGATCCCTACGTTTATAGACGAGGAGACCCATGCTACTGATCGCCTCCTGCTCTGGCATCGATATTTCTGTTCTAGATTGCGTTTGCATGGCCAGAAGTTTTGTGGGGGATTCTACACCAGATCGTCAACTCGCTGTAGCGTTTCTTGGCATGCAGTGATAATTGTAATCCTCCATTGATTGACATAACCACACTTGCTTAAACTTGTATATTCTGGACACATTAACACCGAAAGAGAAGACTTGAAATAGCGAAATAATACTTCCCCTATTGTGCTCTGGTTACCATTTCAAGCAGCAAATCAAAATCTGTTGCTGTTCAGTTTGCCAATTTGATTTCTTGAACAGCGAAATATGCTTTGGGAACCGTGGTACCGCGTCGGATGCTTTCTAATATGTGTGACACAGAATCTTAAAAATTTACCTCGGTTTTGAGTGTGAGTCATTTTGAATCAATTTTAGTTTGACCATGTATTATTAAATGTTGATCATGTCACCATGACAACATGTTGAAGTGTACCTTAAGAGATCCTTACTTTAGAAACTGGTTAGTTCCAATTAACTTTGTTCCACTGCAATTAATTTAACAATCTAAAGAGATTCTTGTGTCTACTTTCAATCTTTGGTAACAACAAAATTAGTTTGAAGTACGAGCTAAAACACTCACAATATTACATCAAGCTTCACAAAAATGCTTCATACTCATCTTGATCAAGAATTAAAAAACCAATCTGATATTTAAATTAAATATAACTAAAATCTTTAAATAAATATTACAGCTAAAGATTCAATATATGTAGAAATTCTTTTTAAAAAAATTATATATATATATATATATATATATATATACATATGTCTATAAATAACTTAATACTAAAAAACATATTCTAAATATGAATCAAACATAAGCCACATTTATACTCTTTACAAAACAATTATTCTAATGTACTCCTTCTAAAACATATATCATCAAAATCTAATAATAAATCTAATAATAAATAAATTTATATATCTTTATTTTTTATTTATATCATAACCATAATACTAAATATCTCAATTAATATGATAATAGATTTTAATACAAGAACAAAAAAACAAAACAAAAAACAACCAAATGCCATTCTTATGTCTAAATAGTATGCCATATTATATATAAAAATTCATATGAAAAAATTTAACATACTAATGATAAATGTATATAAATTTATATATATATAAATATATATATACACACACTTTTATTTTTCTAGTCATATACTACACCTTGACCACCCCATTTATTTATTCCACTTCAATATTTTACTCTCCTAAATCAAGTCTCAAACAAACATAGCAAAATCTTGATTGATCTAGCTACTCATTGCGCATATTATACACACAAACATTGGAATACAAGATTGTAATAATAATTTTGAAATGTCTAAATAATAATGAATGTAGTTTCAAAGTACTTTTGCTTCATCCTTCTGTACCATATCTTATCCATAGATGAGCTTCAAATATTTGATGGTAATTGACACCACGACAATCCTCTATAAGAATTTTCTTATTTAGAGAATATACAAGTGACTAAAAAGATTAAATTTATAAATTGGTCTAAAATTACAAAACATCATTGATTGGTTTTATAATTTTAAAAATTAATCAAGAGCCTATGAAAAAATAAAAAATAAAAAAATAAAAAAATAAAGTGAAATGCAGTATTTTTGTTTGTAGCATAAATAGTGTTATTTTTTTTTAATTTGTAGTAGATTTTTTTATTTTAAAAAAATATTTTGATAAAATATTTAAAAGCCATATTAGATCTTCTTTGAAAAGAAGTTTAAAGAAGTTTATTTTTTAAGGATATTTTATATATTTTTAAATTTTAAATAAAAATTTATATATTTTTTATTATAATAATAAACTAATTTGGTCTACTTAATTTCTTTTTCTTACTTTAAATTTCTTCCAAAATTAAAGAGTTCTAAAAGAGAATTTTTCTTTATCAAAAAATCTTATTAAGACTTTTTGTATTATGTTTTTTTAAAGTAGGTTCTTAGACATATAGACTTTGTAAGATTATTGCATGTATGATTTTCATATTTTTTAATAATTCTCATATTTATAATAATCTTAAAAGATCTCAATTCACAAGAATCTACTTTAAAAGTGAAATTCCAGTATGAAAAGACTAGTGAAATGTCTTTAAACTTTTTGATAGTATTACTTTCCATCACTATATACATATAAACATATATATATATATATATATATATATATATATATTTAAGGCTACCCACCACTATATACATATATATATAGATAAGTATGATTATTCGTTTTACTTATTCCAAATTAATCTAATGGGAATAAACCCGTATAGAGGGATTCGAATACGGAGAATGACTAGTTGCTTAAGCGTTCACGTTAGGGTCACACAATCAATTACCTCCTGAATGTATCGTCTCTATTTCCAATATCTGAACACACAAAGAAACTATAATCTCCTTCTTCACCTTATCGGTCTCTTCCTTACAGCAATTCAATCATACCAATAACTGCTATTTCCACCAATATATTCACCCTCATAATCTCCAACTGTAATACTGTGCCCTCACAGCTTTCAGCATACAATTACCCTCATTCCAATCACTGGAATTCTTCACAGAGAACTGCCATTCACATTACGGTGTTTCACACAAACACAGACTCATTCTCTCTATTAAACTACAATCAGATTTCAACATTCAATCTTTCTTCTTCTCAAATAATACCAATCACATTTCCATTCCATAATTCACTTCACAATATTCAGAAACTCTCAATCTTCTTATTCAAAGAAAATAACAAAGAAAAGAAAAGAGGTAGCACCAAGCTTACTCCGGCTCACACTATCACAACGATGGCCCTCGGCTCATGACTATCACAATCTGGCACCCTAATTAACTTCTACAACTCCTATATACTTTCCCCTGATTCTCTAGATTCTAACCATAATTCTGTAATTAACCGCTTTTAAGAACTAAATCACTCATCCGTCCTCTTGAATTTCTTATTATATGGACTATTAATATATTTTACCAATATCTTTCAAAAATGAATTAATATCTATTCTACAATAAGGCTATTTTTAAACTTCTAAAGATCACATCAATTCTATTCTTAGACTACGTTAGTGGTGTGGCATTTGCAAGCATAACAAAGATGTAGATGATAACATTTATTGTAAGACAAGGAAGTATATGTCTAATCTTTGGTCCAATTTTATTAAGTTTGAATTTTGACAAACTTACAACCAAAATTTTTATAACATAATTTAAAACTTTTTAATATTAATTTATTTTTTAAAAAAAATAGATTGATTTCAAAAATAATCTACATAGATATCTTTGTAAAAGCCTCTAAAAAACTTGATGGCACATAGAATTTAAGCTGAGCTAAAATAAACTTGCAGACACCACCAGATTCAAAGTTTTAATAGGTAAATTATAGAAAGAAGATAATTGATGAAATTAAAAAAAAAAAAAAAAAAAAAAAAAAAAAAATTGTTGTGCATTGACATGAAATCTGTTGCTTTCTTCAACATGCTTCTATGAACCAAATCAAGCACAATGTCTTGAAATCTAACAAGATTTTATTATTGGGCTTATTAGAAAATTTATTATTTGTAATTTGTTGTTTAAATTCTTCAAAAAGTAAATATTCCATCTCAGATTCACAATAGTTTTTCCCTTCACCTATAAGAATGTTTTTTTAGAGCTCATGCAGTGCATACACAATTATATTTGGATGAAAATAAAATTTAAGATCCATAATTTTAAAATTATATTCATTTATTATTTGAAACAATCTTATTCAGTGTGACCAATCCATAAAGCCATTCTTTACATGATAGTATCAATAAGCTTCAACTAAATACCTACAATACACACCTTTCCAAAGTCTAGTTAGAATGTGTCTAACATTTTAAAGTGGGTAGAAACATTGCACTTTCAAACCCAATTCCAACACGATAAATGTGAAATAATTCTACAAGATAGATATTACATTGAGAATTTTTAACCAATATCTTCTAATTCCGAATTGTGAGATCCATCTTTGTATTCAAATGAACGCAACAGTGATCAAATCACCACAAGTTTATGGGGATTTTCCATTTTTGTATTAATGTTTTGCAAATAATTAGATAAAATCTTATTTGTGCAAAATTGGCCAACTCAAATTGTCCCGACACACAAGACAACCAATTGAAAGACGCTAAATGTAGAATTCCACAAACAATTGTTTCCAGTCCAAGAGGTATAGCAAAGAAAAAGAAGATTCAAAACAAATGTTCTAAAAATGCCAGAAATAAAGTGTACATAACAAGTGTAAAGGAACCCAACATTACAATTTTGAGTCTAGAAGTTAATTTTCTCAAAAAAGTTGTTAGACCATTATTAAGGAAGATACCGTTGCCACAAACACAAACACATTCTTAATCCTCAATTTCGGAAAAAATAATTGAAATATGAATGACAACAAATATCTCACCTTCTAAAAACAGGCGGAAAGCACAAAAAATCTGCATGGGAAAATTTCCCCCTTTAAGATGCCGATGTTGGTGAAGGTTGAACAAGTTTGTGGAGGAAGGAACATCATGGGCAACGTAAGGAATTGACCGGGTCCTTGAACCTCGATCGATCGATCAAGTCTCGCGCAACCTCGTCGTGGCGACGCGTCGACCGATTCGAAGGAGCTGAAGGAAGACCTGCGGAGCACTATCGCCAACACCACGTGTGGCGCATCTGCACGCAGTGGAGGCCAGGATATGCTGCATCCCGTTGGCACCTGCAGCGCGGCGACGGAGAGACGACGGTGGCTGGCAACAAGAACCGTGCACAGGCGGATCTCAACACCGTAGTTGCGCGGAGATGCCAATTTTAGGTCCGAAGCTAAGGATTCACGTTGGACACTTGTTGCCGAGGTTGAGTGGGAGGTTCGCACTCTACCTTTCGCAAGGTGGTTTCAACTTGAGAGGGCTAGGAAAGTGAACGCAACTTGAGTGTGGCAGCTAGCTTACGATGCGTCGATGCTGGTCTGTGTCCGCCACTTGCGCAGTTTGGTGGTTTTGTTGTTCATGCAAGGCCTTGAAAACTCGACGATGAATTGGCATGCGGCGAATTTGTCCATTTCGTTGATGGTGCGGCGACAACGCGAAGTCTGCGAGAAGACGAAGAAGAGGGCAAAAATTGGTTTAGGGTTTCCTCCTCAAGGCATCGGAGATTCATCCAACATGGGAATACTTCATCCATTGGATGAATATGTTCATCTATGATATTTCATCCGATGACTTTTATTCACGTTCAGTAAGTTTTGCCAAAATATAAGCTTTCTTTTTCTTCGCAGCTTTCTATTTTATTTGTATTTTATTTTGTGATTCGTTGTCAACTAGTTCAGGTAAGAAAGGGCAGTCTTGTACAACCAGTCCACAATAGGAACTAGTTGATTAATTGATATAAAGTTCTGAATTCAAAATCCAACACTATCCTTAGGGCCTTGATGGTTTACAATAAAATATTTATATACAAATACTGATATGTACACAAAAATACTGATATCTATATTTATATACATACATAAATATATATATATATATATATATATATATACACATTCTCTTTGTAACCAATTGAATTTAGACTCAATGTTTTTTCACAAATTGTTTTTCTCATTCAAAAACATAAAGCTTGCCCATACATTATTATTGTAATCTTTCTTCTTTTTTTTCTTTTTTCTTTTTTCTTTTTAGTTTTTATTTTTTGGTTTTTCTTGATAACTTAAAATGTGTGATGATTCACTTTTTTCTATTTTTGAACTAACTTATAATTGCTTTCATGAAAATATTGATTTTTTTTACCTTGTTTTAAATATCAATTTTATTAAATATATATAATTTAATAAACACTTATATACATGTATAAATGGCTTCTTTTACAAGGTCAACTGAAATAAAATTTACAAACAAGTAAGGTAATTTTGACACACCATTTGAACAAACAAAAATTGCTTCAATGGCTTTGAACTCTAATATATTTTAGAATCATTTAATGAGAACATAGTTAGTGATTCCAAACAGAGTTACCAACACTTCAATTCAACAAGCTAACTACACATGTGATCTTAAATGATATTACTTCTTGAATATCCTTGAACTTTCAATTCATTTTTTTCAGGTTTCTCTAGATGCAGGATATCTGTTTTTGAAATGGAAAAAAAGAATTCTGGTTCATCACCATCAATGTTCATGAATTTCTTTGGTTTCAATTCTAGTTATATGGATGATTCTACTGATTTAGGTCAAGAAAACAATGAAATTGAGAGAGACAATAATGCTGAAGAAGATGACAAAGACGATGATGATAACAAAGACAATGAAATTAAGAGGAATTCAAAGCTAGACCCAATATTGCAACCTTCAACAAGCAATGGGATGGATTTCCAAGATGAAAATCAAGCAAACTTTGCACAAACAATGAATCATATATGGCTGAATTCAGATAGGAAGCAGATGCCTGCAGCAAATCAACCAAGAAGAGCGAGACCTGCCAAAAGAAATCACAAAAATGAAAATCATGGAAACGTAAACCATGCCAACATGAACTATGATCTCCAAGATCTTCCTCCTGAAAATATGCCTAACTATTCAAAACCATTCAACCATCAAAATTTTGGTCCCATTCTTCATCAAGGAATAAACATGCATCCCGCCAAATCTATGCATAGGCCTCCATATCAAATAAATCCAAACCCTAATTTTGAGCAACAAAAAAAATTATATTCATCCATGAGCAATGTAAGCAAATCTCTTGGAGAACCAAATTCAGCCTCAGTTTCTCAACAAGCAAGAATGTCTCATCAGCCTCCTCACAATGCACATGCAATTCAATTTCAAGCTGAGCCCACAAACAAAGAAAGACAGTATACATTTTTTCCAAAATATTGTGGGTTTTTGGATGAAAATAAGGATTCAAAGCATGACAATGCACATTTGATTGTAAATGATGCAAACAGCCATACCATGTTTATTCCATCTTCAATGAATGCTTCTCAGAAGAATGAAATTATCACTAATTCTTCTGGACCTAACAATCCACTTATCAACCAAAATCCACAACAAGTTATGCAATTTCCCTATAAAGATTCTTTTAGGAACACTTTATCTAATTCTCAAGGTACACACTTTGACACAAACAACCACAAAAACGTTCCTTATCAACAACAAAGTTCTTTGCCCAATCAAGATATTGTAGGAAATCCTTCTTTGATGTATAACCCACAACATGTTCCTCAAGAGCAAAAACAAATGTTTAATTTTGAGTTCCAGAATCCTCTCATCAATCATCATGTTAATCCTACACAACAACAACAAAACAATTTTAACTCTTCAAGTAACCTACATGCGCCTACTTTTCATCAACAAAGGTTTAATCCTCCTCTTGTTCAAACAATAGCAACAACTGATGCTGTTGATAGTCATGACAATATTCATGAAGTAGAATCCAATAAAAACTCACAGAAGTCTCAAAATAATGAAGATGAAAACCTAGAACATGATTTGTTAATCAAACAAGGTATAAAACCTAATGTGAGTTATGTATTGAGTCCTCCTGCAGCAAATACTCCTGTCAATCCTCAAAATACACTGCCTACACTAAACATCACATTTTCACCTACATTTCATGATTCACCATCTTCATTGCCTACAACCCCAACACCTCAAAAAGGACCTTCATTACCAACTGGACAACAAAACCCACATCCAAATCTTAACTATAATCCTTCTCAAAACATTAGCTTGCATCCTCCTCAATATCAAAATCCTGAAAAGTATCATAATGTTTCACCTTCAATGTTTAGTGCTGAACCTCATTTGGGAAGGAAAAAAGTGCAAAATTATTCAAAGGAATATAATCCTACACACAATGAAATGGGTTCTCTGATGACAAATGATAATTTGGTTAATGTTCAAAGATTGGACTGTTCTTCTGCTTGTCAGAGTCAATGTGAAGCTTATTGTAATCAATTTGAAGTTTGCTGTAATTCAATAGATTCACATACAGTCTCTCAAAATTGTAAGAACAAAAGAGTAAGTAGGTCAAAATCACGATGGCAACCACAACATGTGCAAGATAGTGATAGTGAAGATGGTTCCACTCATTTGAGTACACATAAAAGAACTTTAGGCATGCTGTCCAAAAAACTAAAAAGTTCCAAATATACACGCAAGAATGAAATAGAAGATTTAATTAAAAATATTCCAATGTGGATTCAAAAATCTATTGTGCTTCCATCACATCAACGTGGTTTCTACAACATCACTCGTTTGGTACATAACAAATGAATTTAAGTAAAAAAATAATGAAATATTAAATTCATGCATTTATTTTTTTAATTATATACAAATATATGAATGTAAAAGAAAGAAGCATTATAAATTGAATATTATGCATAATTCAAATTCAAGACAATATGAAAAGATGGTATTTTTGTGATACTATTTGTCTTCATAAAAAATATAAAATAAAACAAACAAACCAAATATATTATAACTAAATAAATTATTCTAAAAGTTTTAAAATAGTCTCAAATATTATTTATTTCATGTGGCAGCTAACACGACATCTTGAATGTGACCTATCCTTTTTTAAGTGCGGCTTGGCTCATATTTTTTGTAAGTAACTTTGTTTTCTTAAATTTACTGCATTAAAACGATTAAACTAAAGTATTTTTCGGAGATTTCATTTCAACAAAAAAATAATTTGAATATGTGTATGAAAAATATATTTTTACTTAAAATCTATTTAATTCTTTCAAATAAATCATGAAAAAATCCAATAAATCTGTAAGAGACATTTTAGAATCAATTAAAAGAACTGCTGCATTTTTAGTTAGATGATCTTATCTGTTGACTTCATTCTTAATTGGGCCAACATCATCATTATTTATAAAGTAATTCTAAACCTTTGAACATTTAAATTCATTTCATGACAAATGATTTTCAAGAATAAGAACAATTATTAGGTTTTTAATGCAGATTGATGCAGGGATTAAGTCCTCTTTTTGGGTGTTGAAACAGTACAAGATACAAGTGCATCGTTGGCTGTAAATGAATTCCGGAATTCAAAATGCCTTCAAGATTTTGAAAACAATTGTGATGTTGTAAACATGTTGGAGGTATATAAGAAGAACATATATATATATATATATATACACACACATACATTGCATTATAAAAACATTCCCCATAAAAATTAATATGAAATAGAGAACTCCAAAAATCCATTTTTTTACTAAATTTTTAAATTTAAGAAATGAAAAATATTCAATAATTATTAATATTTTCTATGATTGTTGAAATCTTTTTTCATGCAACCATATCAGAGGAAAACACCATCATGCTCTCGTAAAGATAAAGGTGATTTTTGTTCTAATTCACACAATATTATCAATGTAAAAAAGTAAAATTTTAAATATCTACTAATAGAGAGAGATGTATTTGTATTCAAATGGTCAAATTAACCAGTTTTAGAAACCCATGCCAATTAAACTTCCATGGTAACATAATATGAAAGATTCAAATCTTTTTTTAATGTAACAGGAATAAAAGAATGAACATATCATGAAACCAAACAATCCAACCTACTTTTTTGTGTATACATTACCTGTTGTTTGTAGGTGTTGATGAGATACTATCTCACAACAAATCGACAATGTTTGGATCTTCTATTACGTTAGTGTCTCAACCTCAATATGCATTGCTAATCCAGCTCTCCATGTTCTTTCAACATGTATACACAAATGAGAATTTCTTTGTGACTCCATTTTTATTTCGTTTATTTTAAGGGCAGTGTTTTGTGTCTAATACAGAATACCCATCACAGATGGGGTTTTGAACATAGGAAAGTGGCAAGTATGTGCTCCTATACCTTCCCTACACTAAACTCTCTTTATCTCTACTACATCTTAATGAGGTTTAAACCTGTTTCAAACCCTAAAACCTGGTCACTCATACACATGTGGGTGGGGATTGAAACAGGTTATCTGTTTAATGGAGCACAATGGCCATGGGTCCTGCCACCGCATGGTGGTGACCATGACTGGAATTTGAGCTCCAGCTCCTTAGGGCACCCCTGCCCCCCAATCACAATTAGGGTTAGGGTTTTGGATCAGGGTTAAAGTTATGGGGGCTTGCTCCTCTCTCTCTTTCTCTTGGTGAGCTGAATTACACGACATATAATTTTCATTTATTACCAGTTGAATGCAACTGTGTTATTGTGCTCCACAGGAGGTGAGAAAATTTGTTTTCATGATTGGGTCACACAATGTGCCAGTTCTGCAGCATTGGCAGACTCTGTTGCACTCATGACAGCACTTTTGCAAAACCTGCAAATGCATTGTCTTACCTTTTTATGCAATCTTTTTTCTTTAATGTTGTGCATTTGAATGATGTTTTCAAATCCATGGTGGTTGAGTGCTTGATGCTGTAAATTTATGATACTTTTGTATGTGCATGGTAGGGCCTTGCTCAAAGTTTTTAGTTTCAATAGAAGATATGCATCCAAGAGGAAATTGTGTAGTTTTATTTTATGCTTTTATCCTTGTCTGTGACACCTAACTTGTTATTTTATAGCCAAAATTCTCAGGTCTATGTTGACTTAGATTAATGGAAAACTTGTACCCTCCCTTTGTACTTTTTTTCTTGATGCAGCTAGACACTTCTAAAACTAATTGTGAACAATTATTTCAATTGTAGATGCAAACAAGTCACACTTATTGCTATAGTCATTACCAATGTTTTCTTGCCAAATGTTGACAACAATTTCTTCATAGCATATATTCAAATGAGTAAAAGGTATCTTTTAATTTTTGTTTTGTTCCATAAGACTTAATTATTTAGCTCAAGCATAATCAAAAGCAATAAGTTCTTTGTATAGAACTTTTATTTTTGCAATATTGTAATCAAGATTCCAATCTATTTATGATTTTTAAAATCTGTATTTAATATGTAAATTGAATTGGTTTGTCATTTTGGATAAATGTTCTTGGTCAAGTAACACAATTCAAATAGTAAAATCAATTTATATATATATATATATATATAGATAATTTTTTTAAGAATATAAATTTTTTAAAACAAAATATAATTTTGGTGTGATAAATTTATTATTTTTTTTGGTTTGCAAAAAATCAATCAAGTGATAATAAAGCTTGTGAAAACATAAACCAATCAAGTAATAATAAAGTGTGTGTGTGTGTGTGTGTGTTTTTTTTTTTTTTTTTTTTTTTTTTTTTTTCCCATATCAAATAAAAAATAAAATAAAAAAGAAGGTTTATCTTTTTGATATTTATAAAATACAATAATATGATTTTACTTAAAATTAAGATTTGATAAGCAATACAAACCTCAATAGGAAGAGAATAGTAGATAGAAGTATAGATAGAGTAATGTTGAAGAAGATGAATGGTGATGGATATTGTAAGAAAGAAAGAAAGAAAGAAAGGGAGTGTGAAGATTGTGTTGGAGGAGCTTGCAACTTCATTGGAGAGTATGGTGCAAATTGGCTTGATATATACAATCCATTGCCTAGGTTTAGAATATGAGTTATGTAATTTTAAGTTATTTATATGTATAATATATTTCAAAAGTAGTGTAACTATAATATTTTGTAACCATAAAATATATAAATATTATATAATCTACTAATTTTATTTTCATAGTATAGATAAGTTTATATGTTTATTTTATTATATTTTATTTTTTCATAAATTATATTAAATATTATTTAAAAATATTTAAAAATTTATATTTTCTAAAATATAGATATTTTAAAGATTTTAAACATACCATTAGAATTAAAAATATTACAGATAGAAAATAGATTATTTTATAAAATTTAAAATGACAAAGGAAAAAAAATCAACAAAATAATATAAAGTCAAAGATTCTATATTTGAAGATTAAAAAACTTAAAGAATATTCTATATTTATTATTATATTTATAAATCTCTAAAATAGAAAGATAGGTCAAATGACCACTTACAAAATTATATCCAATGATACTATCAACTCAAAATTTAAAATAGTCAAATTCTAAATATCTACAAAATTAAGCATTTTTAGAGCAATTTAGTGGCATATTTAGAATGGATAATTTACAAATATATCTATTAATGTTTTTAAAATACTCAAAAAAATTTTCAATATAAAATAATAAAAATTCTAAAATCCATATCAAAGTTATTATATCTTACAAATTAAAACTTTATAGAACAAGTTATTTAAACCATTTGAATTGTAGATAAAAAAATAGTAGAAGTATGTTAAATCAAATTCTATAAAAAAAGTTGTAAAAAAATTGATTTTACCTATGTAATTCTAAAGCATAAAATCTTAAAATTTTCAAATTTTAATTATAAATCTTTGTTCAAATCTTAGTTTTTATACCAAGTAATTGCCTTCAAGACTTATTAAGACTTCATTCTAATGACTTTTTGGTTAGAAAGACTCTTCTACCTTATAAAATCTTCTAGATTCTAATAAAGACTTAGATTATTAAATAATCTTCTTAATATTAATATTATTATATTTAAATAATATTAGAAATTTATTTTTTATAATTCAATCATTTATAATGTATTGATAGGACTTACGTGAAGTTAAATCAAAATTAAAAAAATAAAGATGTAAAAATAAAATAGATATATCTATCTAACTTTAAATTCTAAGCTCTTAAATCTTTTATGTCAAAAATCAAAATCTTAAAACTAAGGTCTATAAAGCTATATCTTTCAAATAAAGTTATTATAAAAAATATTATTTATAATATTATAATTAAATATTTTAAAAATAAAAACTCAAGTCATATCAAAATTAAAAAATAATAATATTAGAAATTAAAACTATTTTCATAATTATAAATTATAGATTATATATTTTAAAATTTAAAATTTTAATTAACTTTAGAAGTTGAATATATTAGATAATTTAAGGTTGTTCAATTTATTTGGAAATGATGTTAAGCTATGAAAGATAAAACTTGAAGAATATAAATAAAAAAGTGGGATATTTTTTAAAAAGAGATGTGAAAATATAAAAAATAAAAATTTATATTCATAAAGAAATTACAATGACTATTATCAAAGACTTGAAAATTAGAGACTCTTGAAATTAGACTAAAAATAAGAAAAGAATTGATAAGAATAAGAAAGACCTCACTCTTATCTTTGTATGTACTATCTTACTAGGAGTTATATAATAACATTGTATAAAAATTCTAATATGTGACCAACTCGTGAGACACATGTTTAACTTATAAAATAAGTTTTTTATGTGTATGCCACATAATTAACTTCTACTATACGTGGTTGATATATGTGGCATGTTGCCAATTTGTTGCCTAATTTTTCAACCTATAAATTATCTAAAAACATGTATAAATTCAAATTAGTATTTATAAAGCTTTTAAAAGATTTTTCTATAAGATATTATATAATTTATCTACTTTTATTATCTTCTACCTAATTGCTTTTATCTAGACGATCCAAAGTGTCAATTATGTTTGTGTTATTATTCTCCCTACTAGGAACAAGTTATACAAGGAGCAATAATCACATGTTGAAAAAGTCTAAGATGTGGCAAATTATTTTTGCCACATACTTAAATTTTTCTTCCCTTTGAAGATAATAGGTCATCTTAGTTGTTGATAATATTCAATATTCAATATCCAAGTGGAAAGATTATTTAGTTATTTGATCATTATTGAAGTCTTCATGAATTTTTTCAAATAAATCATTTATAATACCATCATAAGTGGTTCCTACTTCCAATAATATTAATAAACATCAAAAGACTCAAAAACTTTATATCTCTCTATATTTTAATTGAATATAAGTATTTTTAATTTTAAAATGATTTTAATTACCAAATAAGAATCAAACCTCATAATTTGCTTGGATGTTGGCTATCAAGGACATAAATTTCAAAAAACCGAAAGTTTAATGAATTCTTATATTATTAAAAAGATTGAAAAATCACTCAAATATGATATAATATTAAATTAGAATGGCTATTGCTAAAGACAAGAAAATTAGAATCTCTTAAAAAAATTCTAAAAATAAGAAAGAAATTGATAAAAATAAAAAATGCTTCATTCTTGCTTCAATATATATAATCTAATTAGTAGCTACATAGTCACATTCTATAGAGCCTCCAATATATGTCAAACTTACAAAAAATATGTCTAATTTATAAGACAAGTTTTTTATATGTGCACCATGTAATTAACTTGCTTCATAAGCTACTAATACGTGCAATATGTGACTAATTTGTTAGCCAAGTTTCTAATCTAACAATCAACTGTAAACATGTATAAAGTCAAATACTCATTCATAAAGCTTCTAAAAAGCTTTATTACAACTTAATATCAAATCTATTTATATTTATCTTATATCTAATACTTCTTATTTAGGAAAATATGTATATCTATGATATTACTTTTCCTCTCTTCCTTCTCTCTCACCTTTTAGAGATGAGTTCCATAGAAAGCTGCAATCATATATTGACAAAGTCTAAAATGTGATAAATTGTATTTGTGACATATTCTGATCTTTGTTTTTTTTAAGGTAGTTGATAGGTCCTCTCAATCATTGATAGTATTTTATAGTAGAGTAAAAAGACCACACTATTATTTGATCATTGTTGAAGCCTTCATAACTCTCTTCAAATATAATATTTGGAATATTATCAAAGATGGTTCATATTTCTAATACTATCACTAAGGTTGTGATATCAAATATGTTATATCTTGTTATCTATTCAAGGAAAGACATATTATTCTTGAAGATCTTTATTTGTATTGTATTTTCTTGAAATTTATGATTATCATTTCCAATAACAAAGAAATTGTCCAATTATCTTGTTAGTAGTTAATGATATACCTCAAATACTACTTTAAAATTTTATTTATCTACTCTGTTTATCCATCATTTTGAGGATAGAAATCTAAAGATAATTTTATGTCTATATTTAAGATCTTAATTTTTTTTTCTAAAATCTTAAAACATATTTATATCTATATTTAATATCTTTTGACAATCCATTATAGCAATAAATATTGTCAAAAAAAAGCTTAGTTGTTTCTTCACAAAGAATAGATTTTGTATATGATACAAGATTTTCCATCTTGATGAATTGATTTATTATTACAATTATGAAATCATAATAACTTAAGATTAAAAGATTCATGATAAAATCCATAGAAACAAAAGACTATAATTGTCCTAAAATAGATAATAGGTAAAAAAGTATATAGGATTGATGATGAAGAGTCTTTGATCTTGAACAAATGTCATATGATTACACAAAGTCTTTGACTCCCTTTTATATTTGAAGCCACCAAAAATCTCTAGATATTATCTCTAAAGTCTTATTGAATCTAAAATATTTGGCTCCTAAGAAATCATCATGAATTTAAATAAGACATAATTATGCTTCATCTTTTGAAACATATAAATAATCCTAAAAAATAGAATAGATTACTCTTGAATTCAAACTTAGAAGTATCATGGTATTAAAAAAAATTATTTTTAATAACATGAATAAGAGGATCAAAGGACATATTTGATTAAATTTGCTTGAAAAAGATTGAATCAATAGTTAATGTTAGTTTTGTTGCTCAAAGATGAAATTACTTTTGCTTCTAAAAAAATATTATTTTTTGGTCATAAGATGTATTTTTTTGTATAAGATAAAAATATCTAAAAAAATTATCTAATAAATCTTATTA